TTTTGCAAATAGTGATCAAAAATTGTCTACCCATGTTTCCTTCTGAATGTGTTTCGTTTTTATTAGCTCGTTCATCTCTTTTCTTTGTCCTCTGATCATTCTGCATATTTTTTTGTGTGCCGTAGAAATCGTGTTCCTTCTATTTTGAGAAACTCAACCAGTATTCCTTTTTTATTTGTCTAACTAAAGTATTCGTTTCATTTCTGATTCGTTTATAGTAGTTGTATGCCTGTTGTGTTGTGTATTTTAAAAATACTTTCTTCTTTTCTTCAAATTTTGTCTTCACTCCTTTTCTAAACCATGGTGATTTTTTTATATGTTAGTGTTCGTTACTTTCCTCTCTTCAAGTAATTCTGTTGCTGCGTTAATTATGATATTTTTAAGTTTTTCCCAGCTTTTCTCGATGTTATCGTTTCTATTATTTCATTCCCAGTGATCTTCTCTAATACTCTTTTCCTGTATTTTACATAATACTAGGCTATGGTCGTTACATACATCTGCTGACTTTAGGCATCTTACGTCGATTATTTTCGATGGGTGTATATCTCTGTTGGTTATTACATAATCTATCATAGATGTTTGTCCACGGGTGTTATTAAACGTACATTTTTGTCGGTCTTTATGGTCAGAAAATGTATTGTGTATTCTTAGTTCGTTATTCGTGCAAAAGTTGATCATCAGTTCTCCATTTTCGTTTTTAACATTCTCGTTATGTTTTTGTTTATTGCCGGATATTACTTGATTGCCTATTCGAAATCCCCCAATATGTTCATCTTCCCTCTGACTTGATCTACTAATTAGTCATATAACGCTTCCCTTGTTGTTTGGGAGTTGTTATTTTCTGGGCCGTATACTCCGATCATGTTTAGGTCTTCCTTCTCCATTTTTATCTTTGCTGTTACTATTTGTTGTGATTTTAGTACCTTTGGTGTATTAGTAAGGATACATCTTCATTGGCCCAGTTTTCTTTTGCTACTCCACTGTGGATTAGTATGTATTCACCTAATTTTGAGCTAAGTTACCTCAAAGCTAATGAACAAGATAGTTGAATATGAAGAAGAATATGGATTATCAATAAACACCAAGAAAACCAAATAAATCAGGATATCAAAAACCCAAAATAATAGTGAAAGCCTGACAATTAACGGTAGTGCTTTAGAACAAGTAAAAAACTACCACTATCTTGGCACAATAATTAATCACACAAACAATTACTCCAAAGAAATCAAAGTTCGAATAGAGAAAGCATGTACAAACTTAAATAAAATGAAAAAGGTACTTTGTGCAAGAGAACTAAAGTTGGACTTGAGAGTTAGGCTGGCAAGATGTTATATTTTCTCGACTCTGCTTTATGGGATGGAGGCACGGACACTTAACGCGTTGACTGCTAAAAAGTTGAAAGCATTTGAAATGTGGGTGTACAGACGAATCCTGAAGATATCATGGACCGAGCATGTAACAAACAACGAAGTCATGAGAAGAATCAACAAAAGAATGGAAGTATTGGAAACCATCAAGACACGAAAGCTGCAATACCGGGGCATGTTATGCGTAATGAGAGATACAACCTACTTCAACTGATTATACAAGGGAAAATTCATGGCAAGAGAAGTGTAAGAAGAAGAAGAATCTCATGGTTGCGTAACTTGAGGGAGTGGTACGGATGCACATTAATTGAACTATTAAGAGCAGCAGCATCTAAGATCAGAATAGCCATGATGATTGCCAACCTCCGTCGCGGAGATGGCACGTGAAGAAGAATACCTAATTTTGTATTCACCTAATTTTGATTATCATACTTATTTCAATAAATTAAACAAATTTAATTTAAATTAAAAATTAGTTTTTGGTATTTACAATTCCTGTCTATTGTTACACCTAGATACTTAAATCTCTCGACTTTTTGAAATATACATTATTTAATCTTTATATTATATGTTAAAATTTTTCCTTTAGATAATTTTTCCTTTCTCATTTATTAGTCCTCTAATTTTCGGTTCTCCTATCAAAGTCATCAGTGCGTATTGTAAGCTATTTTTGTCTTTTGCATTTCGTGTGAATCGCTCCTTCAAGTGCTGTCACTTTGTCGAACTACTACTTCTATATTGATAGTTTCTTCATCTTCTTCGCCTGTTACAGCTTCTGCTACGCAGTTGTCTAGTGTCATTTTCGCTAATTTGATCAGTTTTGCTGGTGTATTTATGTTTTGCACTTCAAGTATGAGTTAACGTCTATTTAAGATTTAAAGGCTTGTTGCAAGTCTACAAATATTACGTGTAAATTTGAGTTAGGTTAGTAATACAGTAGAAGCTGCTTAATTCGAACTTCGCTAATAATTCGAAATCTTCTTTAATTCGAATTTTGATTCTGGTCCCTAGCATTTCCTATATAAGTAATGGTAAAAAGTCGTTAATAATTATATATTGGATAATTCGAACTTTCCTATAAGTTAAAAATGCCAATTTCATGCTTGAAATTTCCAATTCCAAATTTCCGCGAAAAGGGGTAGTATTCTTTTCTATTCTAACGTGCTACTTATTTCAAGGCATTCAAGGCCATTGTACATTGTACCCGTACCAGGCACCTAAATTCTACCCCACCCGGCTCGCCTCTTCAGTTGAGATACGTGTACGTTGCAATTGCAAATTCCACAAATCACGTCAGTAAGTCACTTCATATTGAGCAAAGATGTCGTCGCATGGTAAACTTCGCACATACAAAACTTTGACGTTATCGCTAAAAATTTCGGCAATTAAAGAAGTAGAAAAGGGGACGAAGAAAAAATCTAAGATTGCCAGGGACTTTGGAATTCCTCCTAACACATTATCCACCTACTTGAAGAATAAAGAAAAAATTCTCAACAATGAAAGTGAGTGCAGTAAAGATTGAAAAAGGTTAAGGGAGCCAGAAAATAAAATTTACGGCGAGTACAGGGTTGCTCGACGGCTTCAAAGAACGCAACAAAATTTCTTTCAAATCCATTTGTGGAGAAACTGGGACCGTTAATCAGCAAGAAGTCAACCAATGGAAAAAAAATTGAGGAGATGATTCAGGGTATAGATGAAAGAGATAAAATGTTTTATGTTTTATATTTTATGTTTTTAGATATGTTTTAAGAACGTCAAGTCAAAACCAATGGAGTATGTGGCAGCGCAAGAGCTTGGATGACTAGTGATCTTTTCGAGAACTGGCTGAAAAAATTAGACAAAAATTTCATAAAAGAAAAAAGAAAAGTTACTTTGTTTATTGACAACTGTAAGGCAAACACCACTATCCCTGAGTGTCATAAAAAACTTTAAACATTTTTATAGACGTTTTTTGGTTGAAAACATATGACGGAAGATTGCGACACCCTTATAATAAAGTTAGACATTCTACAAGAATTTCGAATGTGTAAGAAAGCTTGAGACCAAATAACACCCTAAACGATCAAACACTGTTTTAAAGGAGCTGGTTTCATAAAAAAGGAGGAGAACGCAGACAACACTTTAACAGAAGAGATGCTTTCAGTTGACTGCTGGGGGGACATCATTTCTGATCCTGCCATCTCTTATGAAGATTTTGTCAACGTGGATGAAGATGTAATGAAATAACCGATGCAGAGATCATCTCTGAAGTGCTTAAGGATAATGATGAAAAATAAGAAAGTGTTGAAGACGACGCGTCATCAGTTGCGGGAGAAATACATGTTCTGGGTGCGGCCGAAGCAACAAACCATATTACGCAACTTAAACGGTACTTTGAAAGTAAAAATGATTTAAGTCACTCTATTTTTAGTTCACTTAACATCTTAGAATCTTTTCTCATTACCGAGAAGTTATATTCTAAAATGCAGCTAAAAATTTCAGATTTCTTTGGAAGAAATTAGTCTATTTTCATTAATTATAACAAATATGTATCCTTATTTTTAATAAATTTTTTGAGACAAAATGTTTTATTGTTTTAATGATACGTTCTAACTGGGCATTTTTTATCGGTCGATTGTTTCGGCCAAGTTTTGGCCAAAAATGCCAATGAGAAAACCTGCAAATGATAAAAATCGACAACAATTGACCATTTTTTATAGCTTGCAAATGTTTTAATTGGTATTCTGGCCGAATTTTGTTGGCCTATTTTTTTCGGTTGACAAAATTCGGGCAAAAATAGGAACGAAAACATCTGCAAGTGATAAAAAATGGTCAACTATTGTTGATTTTTATCATTTGTAGATGTTTTTGTAGGCATATTTGTTTTTATGGATATATTTTATGTATTTTTAATTCGAATTTTTGGACAATTCTGCAAGCGATAAAATATTTCGTTATTTCTGCAGAAAACATCGGCAAGCGGTAAAAATGGTCAACTATTGTTGATTTTTATCGTTTGCAGATGTTTTTGTAGGCATCTTTGTTTTTTGTGGATATATTTTGAATTCGAATTTTTGGATAATTCGAATTTGTGGATAATTCGAATTTTTTAACGGTCCCTTGAGATTCGAATTATCCAAGTTTCACTGTACTTTTAAATCAATTATGTTAGTAGGTGAATGGCGTGTATGGTCAATTTTTCTTACTTTGGGATCAGTATTTTTTTTCTCGTGTATTTTCAGTAAATTTATATATTCTGTTTCTCAAGGTACTTGTCAATATTTTGTATGTGATGTTCAATAGCAAAATTTCTCTATAAATACTAATGTCTTGTTTCTCCTTTTTATTTATCGTTATCATGTGATCATTTTCCTATTCCATATTTCCAGTTTATCAGTTCTATTCCTTCATTTTTTATTAATTCATTGTTTATTCGGTACTGCAGCTTTTCCTAATTTCAACATTTTCACTATTTCAAATAAGTTCCTTGTATGCAGGAGCGTTATTACTCTTCTTCTACTGTATGTCTTATATCTACTTCCCCAACATTCCTGCTTTGTTTGATTTTGCACAAATTAGAGAGATGTTTTCCCCAGTTTTATATGTTGTTACATTTTTCCTACATCGTATTTATTAAATACTTAACTACCTTAGGTTTTTATGGGCTTAATTGGCGATCTATTTCCTGCACTAGATGTCCCAAGGAAGCGAGACTTGGACTTTGAAAAAATGGTTAAAAAAAGTGCATTGGATCTTAAGCTTCAACCTGAAGAGGGCTTTATTTTAAAAATTGTACAACTCGAAGAACTTTTCGCGGTACGGCATTCAGTTTTTATCATTGGATTTGCAGGTATGTATAGAAAAGGAATTTTAAGTTGTCTCAACAAATATCAGGCATTTGAAATAGCACTAAAAACGCAGAATTTAAACTTCTACATTAAAAACGATCACATGTTACGAGAAATGCCTCTAAAAAGACGATTTGGTGTGTAATTTGAAGCAAAATTGGGTAGTTTTGCAAAATATGCACGTGTAATTGAAAAGAGCAGTTTTAGACATTTTAAATCGTTTGTACCGTGAAAGTAAAAATTCAGTATTCTTTAAGTATATTTCAAATGTCTCACAGTTGTTGCCAAAACTTAAAAATAAAATTTCGTCCTATATGTTTTAAAGATTAGGCTCTATTTATCGAAACTCCTTAGTGGCCGGTCAAGAAAAGATCATATCATAAAATACAAAAACTGAACACGAAAGCTCCACTATTTATCTTTAAAACTTATCTTAATTTTTTTCAATAGGACACTCGGATCAAAAGATATCGAATTTTTACCGTCGAGCTGATACAAATTTTATTAAACATTGATTTCGCTCGCGTAACTGACATTCACAATCGACGGTCGCTTCAAGCGTTGTTTATGAGAGAACTGTTCATTCTGTACAAAAATGCTAATCCAAATTTTTGTTCAAATTTATATTAGCTACATGTTTTTTCTACGGCGTACAGGTTCTTGGTAAATTGATTTTTTTACGTTTTCCCCCTCTATGAGGGGGGTTTTAGAGAAAAGCTCGGGAGCAAAAGTACAACTGATGTGCAAAAAATGTTCAAGTAACGTTAGATAAATCCAAAGAGGTATTCGCAACAGACTTAAAAATAAGGCGCAAAGTACAATTGGTGTAGTCAAAGACGATAATCGCGGAAAGTTTATACCCAAAAACAAAACTTCTTCTTAGCAAAAACAACAACTCATCAGTTATAACTCATATAAACTCATTCCCCATATAGAAAAGTCATTATACACGCCGAGTGAAAAGTAAGTTGACCTCAATTTGGTTAAAATGTATAGACTGTACCGTGCAGTCACAGCTGAGCCAGTTAGTCGCACAATTTATGAAGTTGAGTTTCACAAGCTTAACATGGCTTTTAAAAAGGCAAAAACGGACGTAGACTCCGACAAAGTTTAGTTTGGGAATATGACTCATAAATCCACGATGCGCATTGGTTCTTGTTTACTAGTGTTACCATAGAAACGGCCAGTTTACTGTTTGCCAGTGTCGTAGTTGTGTATCGCAGAGAGTGTTTGACTTGTTGATTAGATCGTGCTGGATATTTTATATTTTATTTTATATTAGTGCTTAGTATAATATTGGTAGTAGTAATTAGTGAATTATTAAGTTATTTAGTGTATTTATAGTGTGTTAGGTTTAGTTATTTAACAATATGGCTTCTAAGAAGATAGAAACAAAAGGGCTGAGATTAAATAGCCCAGCAAAGGCAATAATTTATAATGTTACTACATTTATGGAACAAGAGGCGGCATAGTTCGAAGCAACCGAAAAACTGTTAATACCTTTAAGGAAATTGACGTAAGTATTGTCAATGATATTTTATTTTCTTATGTGTGTGTGAAAGATATGACACGGAAACAAGTTCATTGGCCACATAATGTTTTATTTATGTATAAAGATATTTTTTTGTTCTTGTTTGTTCATTTTTTTTGATATATGTATAAATCACTGAAGTTATACTAATTTATATTTCTACTTTCACATTTAAATGTAAAGTGGGGTATATCTGGAAATATGTATTTTGCCAGTTTTCAACAATATTCTCCCATTGCTGTTTCTATTTCAGTCTAATTTTTCATTCCCTGGTATACCTACATGACCTCTAACCCAAATAAATGTTATATTTAAATTTACAATCATGTTTATTAAACAACATAACATAGGATACACTTCATTTCTTTAAATTTTATATTTTTTGAGTATGTTTTTGGATATTAACCATGTTATATATTGAGTACGTTATTGCATGTTAACCAGGTAGTACAGGTTTCTAGTAAAAACACTGATATAGATACATTTTTAACAAAAACGGTAGATACAATTCCTTTACATTTTTACTTAGTAAACAAGATTTACTTTCCAAATATTTTAAATATTTCTATTTATTTAAGGTATTTATCAAAAACTAAAGAACAAAGAAATGGGATTTCCATTCTTCTTCTTCTAGTTCCATGACCGTTATCGATCGTTGGATATCATGTTGGCTACCATATTCGCTATCGTGACTTTATTGACAGCAGCTCTAAATAACGATGTAGTTGATTTTTCATACCATTGCCTTAGATTTTTCAGCCATGATGTTCTTCGTCTACCAGGACCACGATTACCTTGCATCTTTCCCTGAATGGTCAGATGTAAAAGATCATATTTTTCAGGGTGTGTCATAATGTGACCGAAGTATTCCAGCTTGCGTTTCTTTATTATATTGACCGGTTGTGTTGTTTGGCTCAGCCGTCTAAGGACCTCCTCATTTCTAACTCTGTCGACCCAGCTTATTTTCAGTAGTCTTCTGTATACCAATTGGGTTAGGCTTTAGGTAACACCGTAAAATAATTATTTAGCTGAACAAATAAAACTATAATGGATAATATAATTTAAATTGATATTTTATTGGCATCGTTTTAGTTAAACTTATGATGAATATGAATAGTGTCTTTTCAAAAGTACTAAATATTTGAATAATCTATTTCGGTTCTGGTTTCCGAAAAACTGTAAATAAAAAATACGATACGATTCTACATAATTTTTGTTTTTAACAGATAAATTGTTCTTACTTCTGTATGTTGTGATACATTTGAAATTTAAACCATCATACTTTTGAAAATATATTCTTCAAATTATCTTGAACAAATTACAGGTGGAGAACAACCGAAGACAATAGGAGTGTCCTAATGGAAAAATATGAAATTATTTTAAAACGAGTAGAATATTTAAAGAAGCTAATTCAATTTCGATCTGAGGGTAGAACCATTGTTTATACCGACGAAACATATATACACGCCAGCCATACTCTACCATATCACTGGGCAGATCAAAGTGGAAAAACTTTAAAGAAATCAATTTAACCGGAATTATAAAAAATTATACAAGCCAATAAACCACGTTTTTCACGAGTTTATGTATTAAATTATGAGCTTGAACAACATGGACATAAAGTACTTCGCTTGCCTCCCTATCATCCGGAGTTAAACCCTATCGAAAAAATATGGGCTTTGGTAAAAGGTACAGTGGTCACTCATAATACAACATATAACATAAATGATGTTGAAAATCTAACAAGAACAAAATTTTCAGAAGTGTTAATAGAAGAGTGGTCTAACATATGTAAACACGTAAAAAAATATGAAAACACTCAAATCGCAAAAGAACATTTATTAGACTCTACGCTGGACTACTTACAATTTTTATTACTACTGGTTCATCCGAAGAAAGCCTTTCTGATAATGAAGATAGTGATTCAAATTCCGGAATAGACGTGTTTTTGTGTAATATTCCTTTGTCATATAACAAAACATAGAAGTCTTTACAATCATTACTGTTTAGAAAATAAATACATATTTAATTAGTTAAAATAAATTATTTATTTTTTTTTTGTGTTGTTGAAACCCTTCCTTCCTTCCTGGCAATGTTAATAAATTGTAAGTATTGAAGAATTTGTTATTTATTAATATATGACTATAAACTTTATAGATATTAAAAACTATAAAAATAAAAATTGACATATTCATTCTTACTTTAATTTAATATACTTATAAAAATTTATTTTAAAGCTACCGGTTTCCGTCCGCCACTGGTAGAAATGGTCCGCCCGTCTGCGCGAAACACTACGTTACATTCCCAAACTTAAGTTTGTCGGACTCTATCTTATTATGATATTAAAAACTCTCTTCTAAATATTTTCCAACAGGAACCTTGCTACGCCATACCACTTGACGAATCATGTGACATTGTTGATGATGAAGACATGTCTGTTTTTAAAAGAGTTCTTGATATTGAGTGTCAGATTTTTAGGGAAGAGATGCTATTAATATTGCCGCTGAAAGGTAACACTCGAGGAGAAATTAATTTATAAATCTAACATCAGTTATAATAAAATGATTTCGCTTACTACTGATGGGGCCCCAGCAATGATTGGCAAAGAATAAGGTGTAGTAAAGAGGATCAGGAGTAAAAATTCAAATTTAATAACATATCAGTGCATAATACACTAGGCAGCCCTTCGTGGAAAACTTAGTGCTAGACTTAAATGTCACGGGCAGTTTAGTGAAGTTATAGCAAACTATTTTTTTTTTTCTACAATCACTATTCGAAGTTTATACAGCGGCAGAATGGCCAGCAAAATATAAAAATTGCATACAACTTGCAATCAATTTGGCCACTATGTTTGGCTAACGTATACGTTCAAAACGTCTTTCTCAAAAATGAATTGTTAGAAAAACAAATATCGCTCCCGATTAACGGACCTCGAAGATATACTTCGAATTTGTTGTTCGACTCAAGAACCAGACCACAAACAACTAGCTCAAGACTGTCGGTGCAATGTTTCGCATTAATCTAAGGTCTTTTGTTTTATCATTAAGAATGTACCAAACTAATAAACATCTTCTCCTTAAATACAATCATTTGTTTTTATTTTCTGGACCTTGTTCAAATTTTCTTTTAGTCTCCTTTAGTCTCCCTTCTTTAGTTGCCGAACCCTGGTCTAGTTATTAGTGGTCTGTGGTACCACAGACAGTTACATAACATTTCGATCGCGTTGCTTGTGAAAGATTAAAAATACATCTTTCATTTCACCAAAAAATTTATATATACCCCTTATATAATTTTTTGTGTATAAATTGACTTTTTTTAATTCCCTATTCCTGTCTTAAGGTACTGGCAAATCGATGGTATGGAAAACATTAAATAGGACATACTATAATTTAAAGATGAAACCCGTTTATAATGACTTAAATCCCAAGGCAGTTACTAATGATGAATTGTTTGGCATAATAAATCCTTCCACCAGAGAATGGAAAGATGGCTTATTTTCAGTTATAATGAGAGACCAAGCAAACTTAACTGGAGACGGTCCAAAGTGGATTGTTTTGGGTAAATATATATTACGTTACCGCATACTAGGTTAGTAGGAAATTTTATGGTTATACCAAAACCTAATTACTATAATATAGTATGTATTTAGGTATGCAGGAAGTTCTGGATTCCAGCTATTTCTTCAGAAACTAATTAAATGCTTATTTTAAAAATGTATTTGTATAAAAAATATGGTTATTTATATAATATCCTTGTTTAGAGTAACGCATTTAAATTGCATTGTGGATCATGCAATTTTGTAAATTTGCACAGGATAGATGAGCTTTATTTAAATAAGGTTAATGTACTTATATAGTTTGATTATGAATCAATTAATAGCACTACTGATGGCTAGTGATAATTTTGTTTAGGGGGACGCTGATTCGAGAATACAAATAAATAAATAGATATTTAACAAAAACCTACTTTTTAAAATTAAACTTAATTCTTTTACTAAGTTGAAGTTGAAATCAAAAATTTCTTCAACTAAAGTTTTTTCATGAAAAATATGGCAAGCACCGTCAGTACCGTCAGTGGTTTTTCCGATACTGTATTGCTTACAGACGGCTTGATCATTTTCAAAGTAGAGAAACATATTTTAGTTTGATATATTAAAAAAAAAGACTTAAAAATGATTGATGACATTAAAAATGTCTACAATAAATCCACAAGGAATCTACGTTCCTGTAGTTGGCTGTATACCATGTATTAAAAATTTAATTAAAAATCCTTTGTAATAGGTATATTTTAGGCCCAAACGGGCTATGTTAAAAAGACAAAACGTTTTCGGAAACCATGTTCCATCATCAGTGTCTAGGAGTACATGAATGTAGCCACCAAGATTAAATATGTGGGTAAAAACCCGATTACAGATGTTTAATTACATTTAGTTTTAAAATAATGTTATAATGATTTAGGATTATAGAGTTACCGATGGATTAGGTAACATGGCGACATATGGAGTCATAAATCATTGTAACATTATTTTAAAACTAAATGTAATTAAACATCTGTAATCGGGTTTTTACCCACATATTTAATCTTGGTGGCTACATTCATGTACTCCTAGTTAGCCCGTTTGGGCCTAAAATATACCTATTACGAAGGATTTTTAATTAAATTTTTACAATAGATGTCTTTACATTTACAATCAGTTGCATATAAGGCCTGTACTACTACTACATATAGTACATTCGCTGATGCCAGTGCCAACTTTCTAGTAAATTAAGTATTTTTTTTGCGAAGTTAATTACTTTTTGACAGACCAGAAGTACCTGCAAATTACTATACAACTAAGCGCATGTGCTCATAAACAATATTAATAGTAAACATATGTAAATACATACAACGCAAAAGTTTAAGGATATTTTAATAATGTGACAATACCAATGACAGAAATTTCATGACCATATAAATTTGCTTGTACTTTAATTGTTGATACAGACACTCACTTCTTATAAAAAAAAATTGTAAAACTAATAGCAATACGTGTTTTAGAATGTTTTTTATAAAGAAGAAAAAAATCGACATTTTTATGTGTTGATTATTTTTAATTTTAGTCACTTTATACCATTCTTGCTTAATAGGTGAGTTAAACATACTGTCTTTTTACCATACAACGACAACATTTATAACGGTGTAGAGTAGAGTAGAGTATTTATTTAACTACATAACATATACAAATATTGTTTTTAGCAAGTCAAAAAAAACATACATAGTATTAAATGATAAAACATTATACAAACATGAAAACATATTAAACAGATAAATAATACAAACATGAAAACATATTAAACAGAAAAATATTTATGGCAAAGTTACGGTAAGCAGTTCAGTGGATGTTCTGCAATGAGTCATATATTCTTCTGAGCAATAAAAACAATATTTTAAAAGATATTTTTTTATAACTTTATCGAAACTATTACAGCTTAGCTCTTTTATACTTTGTGGTAAAATATTGTAATAGTTATAATTAAGACTATTTTTTCTGAAAGACTTAATCTACAGCGATTTGTTCGTAGGTAGTGACAGTTTCGCGTATTGTGAACATGGACATCAGACTGCTTTATTAAATGGGCACGTTTTCTGTGAATTTGAGTTAAAACTTGAAATATCAACAGAGTAGGTAGCGGCATAATTTTGAATTTGATAAAGAAAGGTCGGCAGTGTTCTAGATAACTAACCCCTGCTAAAATCCTGACAGCTTTCTTTTGTATTCTAAAAATTTGAAGTGCATTTGTTGAATTGCCCCATATAATTAAACCATAGTTTAGGTCAGAGTGGAATAAAGAAAAATATGTCATTTTAAATGTTTCAAAGTAGACAACCCTTGCTAGTTGGCGAATAACAAATAATGAACTGGATAGCTATTTCTTAAGATGTGAGATATGAGCAGACCAGTTGAGTCGATTATTTATGGTTATTCCCAATAGTTTAACAGTCTCTTTGTTAACTAGATCATTGTGTAAATTACTTGCAGATATAACCATATTTTGCGTTTTATCAGAATTAAGTTTTAGTTTGTTTGCAGCAAACCATGAGCTAGATTTAGTAGTAACTTCCTCATGAGACATTTTTAAATCATCATTATTTTTTCCTGATATAACGTATCAGGAAAAATATCGTATAACGTATCCTCTCGGTGGACGAGATGAACAGAGCCGTGGGCCTCCTTCAAGCTGTTGCAACAAACTCAAGTTTTCGGAGGTGTCTCCCAAAGCGTCGTAAGTCGTTTGTGGCGTCGGTTTAGAGACACTGGGAGTCCAACCGAGCAACATCTAGAATGTGGTCGCTCTACAACCGTCGCTCAAGACCGATATTTAATTTTAAATGTCCGAAGGCAGCCAACAATTACTGCACCCGAGCTGGTTAATGACTTACAGCTTGCATATAATGTAACAATTAGCAGCAGTATTGTGAGGAGTCGTCTCCATGAAGCCAATCTTCGTAGTCGGCGACCACTGTAATGTCCACCTCTATCTAGAGGCAATCCGCTGCAAGATTAACCTGGTGTCAAGAGTTTCAAAATTGGACTAACACCGACTGAGCCACAGTTTTTTTTAGTGACGAGTCTAGATATGGGTTTCATCCAGATTCTCGTCGGACAAGAGTTTGGAGACGACTAGAAAATGGAGAACGATTACGACATCTTCAAGAAGTGTATGTATAGAGAGGTGGTACATTATTGGTATGGGGCGGAATCATGATTGACGGAAGAACTGACCTCATTTTTTCACGTATCTTTCCCACAAGTCAGCAATATTTTGACACGATTCTTGAACTTGTTGTGTGCCCGTTTGCTGCTGCTGTCGAAGAAAGTTTATTGTAAGTACAGGATATTGATGTATTGCCGTGGTCAGCACAATCACCGAACTTGAATCCCATTGAGCATAATGTATGGGACATGCTCCAATAAAGAATTGCTTCACATATGGGCAATATCTACAATGAGTTTCAATTAAAGGAGCTTCTGAGAGAACAATCGACATAACTACTTCAAGCAGACATTAACAATGTGATTCGGAGCATGAACAGTAGATGTAGAGCTATAATAAACCAACGTGTGTGTGTATGTGTGTATGTGATGTTGATTTCTTTTGACTGTGGACTTAATTCATTAGCCGAACTAAAATTACTCTTCTAAGATATCTCTTATACTCATTTTATTTATGAATATTTATAACCTATTTGATAATAATGATTAACAATAGTAATTCACACATATATTATACAGCTACCTACATATACCGGGTGGTGAATCGCCAAACGGGCCATAGGAAATTCAATGGGAAATTTTAAATTGTTGAATTCCTGCTTCGCTGAATATTTTTCATCAAAAGTCATAAGAAACTATTTGTAGAGGACTGAAATATATATTAAAAATACATGTTAAAATTGTTCTGCGAATTAAATGTATTCCAAAATTTTGTAAAAATATAATACATTTTTCACACAAGTCAGGCCACACGAGGTACAATAATGTGTATGACATATTGCGTTTGGTCATATTGATGATTTTGATATTTGACAATATTTGAATTGTCAATATTTTTATTTTGTGATTAAATTATATACAAATTTTTACAAATACTACTACTACTACTAGTGTAGTGTTTTTTACAAAGCAATAAAATTGATGGAATGTATTCAGTTCATATGAACGGCATTTATTCTTTTTCAAAATTTTTAAGGCCGTAGAATTATGAATATTAAACTGGCCTGCTTTGGTCCGAGAACTTATTCTAGGATTTTCTAAAACTGGTGTTAATACTTTTATTATTTCATTTTGTTTTTCTAAATTTTTTGGCTCCTCAGCAATATTGTTTGTAAGTACAGGTACAATTAGAAATCACGGTCCCTTTATTTTTAAAATTTTGTAAAATCCTTTGAATTGTTGAATGACTTTGAATTGGTCTATTGGAATATCTTACGCTAAATAAAAACTGACAATTCGCACACCTGAATAAAACATTTTTATTATTGCTAGTTTCACCTCAACTCAATACATTTTTTAATCATTGTTTTTTATACACTATATTGTTTTTTAAACAATAAATCACAAAATAAAAATTTTGGAAATTCAAATATTGTTAAATATCAGAAACATAAATATGACCAAACGTAACATGTCATACACATTCTTGTACCTCGAGTGGTCTGAATTTAAGGGGTGGCCTGAAAAATGTATTATACTTTTACAAAATTTTGGAATACATTTAATTCATAGAACATTTTAATATTTGTTTTTAATACATATTTCAGTCCTCTACAAATAGTTTATTATAACTTTTGATGTAAAATAATTAGGGAAGCAGGAATTCAACAATTCAGAATTTCCCTTTGAATTCCCTATGGCCCGTTTGACGATTCACCACCCTGTGTATTTTAGTGAGCTTTTTGTTTTATTTTGCACATGCTATAATAATATACTTATTAATATACTTCATTCGTTTAGCTCGGGCATATTTTGATAGATTCATTGTCGGAAACCTACAACACAACAATTCCTACTTCTCAGT